GCCTCCTAGTCTATGTACAGGTTCTTCATGAGTACAATTAAGTGTTCTGGAATTTCCATTCTTCTCAATGTTATCCATAATTTGTTATGATCCACACAATCGAAAGCTTTTGCATAGTCTATAAAACGGAAGTAAACATCCTTTTGGTATTCTTTGTTTGCAGCCAAGATCCATCTATATCAGCAATGATATACCTCATTTCATGTTCTCTTCTGAATACAGCTTGCATTTATGGAAGCTCTCTGTAAATACATTACTGCAACCGTTTTTGAATTATCTTCAGTAATATTTTACTTTCATGTAATATTAATGATATTGTTTGATAATATCCACATGTGGTGGGATCACTTTTCTTTGGAATGGGTGCAAATATGGATCTCTTCCAGTCAGTTGGCCAGGTAATTGTCTTCCAAATCTCTTGGCATAGACGAGTAAGTGCCTCCAGTGCGGCATCCATTTGTTGAAACATTTTGATGTGTATTCTGTCAATTCCTAGAGCCTTGTTTTTCAACAATTCCTTCAGTGCAGCTTCGACTTCTTCCATCAATACCATTGGTTCTTGATCATATGCCACCTCCTGAAATAGATGAACATTGACCAATTCCTTTTGGTACAGTGACTCTGTGTATTCCTTCCATCTTCTTTTGATGCTTCCTACATCATTCAATATTTTGCCCATAGAATTGTTCAATATTGCAACTCAAGGCTTAAATTTTTTGTTCAGTTCTTTCAGCTTCAAAAATGCTGAGCATGTTCTTCCCTCTTGGTTTTCTAACTCCAGGTCTTTGCACATTTCATTACAGTAACTGGTTTTGTCTGCTTGAGCTTCTCTTTGAAATATTTTGTTCAGCTATTTTATCTGGTCATTTCTACCATTTGCTTTAGGTACTCTCCCCTCAAGGGCAAGTTTCAGAGTCTCTTCTGACATCCATTTTGGTCTTTTCTTCCTTTCCTGTCTTTTTAATGGCCTCTTGCTTTCTTCATGGATGATATTCTTGATGTCATCCCACAATTCCTCTGGTTTTTGGTCACTGGTGTTCAATGCATTATATTTCTTCTTTAGACGGTCTTTAAATTCAAGAGGGATAGAATCAAGGTCACATTTAGGTTCTTGTGGACTTCTTTTAATTGTTTTCAACTAAAGCTTGCAAATGAGCAGTTGATGGTCTGTTCCACAATCAGCTCCTGATCTTGTTTTGGCTGAAGATATTGAGCCTCACCATCCCCTTGTACCACAGATGTAGTCAATCTGATTCTTGTGTACTCCATCTGGTGAAGTCCACGTGTATAGCCACCATTTTTTGTTGAGAAGAGGTATTTGCAATGAATACATTGTTGGTCTTGCAAAATTCTTTCATGCAATCTTCAGCATTATTTCTATCACCAAGGCCATATTTGCTAACTACCGGTGATTCTTCTTTGTTTACAACTTCTGGATTCTAATCACCAATGATGGTCAACACATCTTTACTGAATGTTTAGTCAATTTCAGACTACAGAAGTTGGTGAAAATCTTCAATTTTCTCACCTTTGGCTTTGGTGGTTGATACGTAAGTGTGAATAATAGTATTATTAATGGGTCTTCCTTCCAGGTGTACTGGAGAGTATCCTATCACTGACAGCACTGTACTTCAGGAAAGATCTTGAAACATTCTTCGGGACAATGATTGCCATGCCATTCCTTTTAAATGTGTCATTCTGGCATTGTAGATTATATGGTTATCTGATTCAAAATGGCCAAATCCAGTCCATTTCAGCCCACTAATGCTTAGGATATCCATCTTTATGTGTTCCATTTCATTTTTGACAACTTCCAATTGTCCTAGATTCATACTTTGTACATTCCATATTCCGATTACTAATGGATGGTTCCAGCTGTTTCTTCCCATTTTGAGTCATGCCACATCAGCAAATATAGGTCCTGAAAGTTTTACTGCATCCATATTATTAAGGTCAGCTCTACTCTGAGTAGACAACTTTTCCCAGTCATATTTTGAGTGCCTTCCAACCTGAGGGGCTCATCTTCCAGCAGTATACTGAACAACGTTTCAGGGCTATTCATAAAGTTTTCCAGTAATGTATCAGACAGCATTTCACTGCCATTCATAAGGTTTTCATTGGCCAATTCTCTGAGAAGTGTATGGCCTCTTCCTTCTTCGAAGTCTGTCCTAGACTGGAAGCTCAGCTGAAACCTCTCCACCATGGGTAACCCTGCTGGCATTTGCAACAGTGGTGGCATAGCTTCCAACCTCATAGCAACACATAAGCCACCACCAGATAACAAACTGACAGACAAGTTCATCTCCCTTAGCTGTTTCAAACCGCTATGCTCACTTCCTGACCTCCCTTAAAGCTGCTCCAAACCCTGCGCCCACCCCTCCTTCGGGGCTGCCCTTAAAGTGACTGCTCCAAAAATCCCAACCGAAATGGTATTTTTGCTATTAAAGGGAAAAAAAGGTCTAATGCTTCATTTAAACCGAAAAGGTTTATACAGTGTCTGATTACCCAATTAGCAAAGTAAATACAAGTTTATTTGTGCTTACTTACTAATCTATAGTGAACAACTACACATATTCTCACCACACCAAAGACTCTGCATCTGGGTGTGGCTGGCATCTGTCTCTCTTGAGGAAATTCAAGATACTGATCTCACTTTCTCCTTCACATAACACGATCAAGCTACAATGTATATGGAGTAGTTGGAAGAAGAAGAGTTGTATGGAGATCTAACTTATTTTATATAATGCAGACCTGTCCGCATTATGGAGATTGTAGAAAAGATATATTGAGATTTTTCTTTAGATCAAGGATGTTTTGTAATTAAAGAGTTCCTAGTCTCAATTTAAGGAACTCTGGTGGCATAGTGGATTTGGCTGCTAACCAAAACCCACCAGCCACTCTACAGAAGGAAGATGGGGCAATCTACTTCTGTAAAGATTTACAGCCTCAGAAATCCAATGGGGGTCACCTTTGACTCAGAACCGCTCGATGGGAATGAGTTTGGTTTGGTATGTTTGAGCCTCAATTTGTTCAACTCCAATAAGTTGATATTAGGCAACTACTGACTCTACAGAACATGAAAGTATGAAGGAAAACAGAACCTGTTATTGTTGAATTTTTGATGTATCTACTTAATGTAAACTTGTGGTTTGAGCATATACTAAGAATGACGTAGGAAGTAATTCATTTTAGAGGACAATTCACAAACTTTAATGAGTAAGAATTACACCCTTAGTTCTTTACAGAATAAATATTTGTTGAATGTCCACCAAGAATATGCAGCACCCCTGATATCTAATATGAGTCTACTATTTCCAGAACTATTTTGAAATAGCCAAACTCTGAGCAAAATATAGATTTACCAGGCAAAGTGAAAGAGCATTCTTCTTTTTTTTAAAAAATGAAATTGTTGACATAGAAGCTACGAGACCACAGCTACCATCAGGGATATCAACTGTAAACCATTTTGATATTTTCTCTGGCTGAATATACCACAGAGATCTCAAAAATAATTTAGTTTTCATTATTAATTTGACTGGAACTGATAAATTAATACTTCTAGGCATTATTCAAAACATACAAAACTATACTTTCATATAAATAGTTAATAGGGATATAAAATTTTTATTCATCAGAAGATGGGCCTGCTTTTTTACAGTACATAATTGTTAAAACTTTATTTGTAAATTGGCTGCTCATAATTTGAGGTCTAACTACTACATACTGAAATACAGAAAACTATAATAGGTGAGCTGAAAAAAAAACTTTTTCATCACAATATATTGTCATATTTCAAAGTATACATAAATCATGCTGAGCTTTAAACCACGTGCTTTTGAAATTCACATTCCCAAATGTAAGACATATGAAATAGTATACAAATCCCTTGTAAAGAATCACACTATCAAGAATTAACAAAAGCTAAGACCATTTAGAGAAACAAAATAGAAAAGACAAATATCTAAAGGGGAAATATTTTGAATTCTTGAAATTTTACCTCATATATTGCCAGAAGAGTAGCATGATTTTTCTTTATGTAATCTTTTCCATGTATAAGCATTTATTTGACAGTTATAAAGGGGTAGGATTTGCTATACAGAGGAATCAATAAGAACCTTGTAAAGCCTACAGCAGTGCACATAAACATGTTGTAGAAGACATTAACACTAGACTGAAAGAAATAATTATATTTTCAATAAACATGTTCCTACTGGATAATCAATTTTTTACACTTTGTACCAGCTGTTTCACACAGCTCAGGTAGTAGAATGGCAGCAGCTGTTATACCAAAACCATATATTATATGCATATGAGGTACTTGTAATTTTTCATAGGTATCTAGTTATTTGTGATCACCCACATTTAACTCATTTTAAATAAAAACAAGGTAATCATGGGGTGATTAATTCAGGAGGATTTTTAGCACAGTCCTATTTAGAAATTAATTCTTAACCAATTATTTTTATGTCAGGAGATTTAATAATTCAAATTACATGCTACCCTCATTTCCAGATTTAAGAGATTTGTCATGATCAATGTTTCTGAAATATTAAATAAAAGGTGTCATGATAATTACTATGGACTAAATAGCAATTAGGATTTTTTAGGCAAATAAGCTCAAACTGTTTGCAGTGAATATTTATCCTAATATTTTTCCAAACAAAGCATGCATCATTCACAACAAGTTGCCTAAAAATGTGAAATGTAAATTTGCAGAAATACTTCAAAAGATGTGAAGAAACTAATTCAATACAGAATTTTTTGCTTGGTTTAGAAGTATAGGTATCCATAATATCCACAAAGACAGAGGTAAATTATAAAAATGTTATCATAAAATAGCTCTATTTCTGTTCAGTATTTATAATATTCAATCTAATACATGTATGAGATGGATAAGGAAATTGAACAATATGTAAATGATAATATTTTAAAAATATACATCAGCCAATAACTATATAGTATCCACATGCATCAGAAATTTGAATTAGGTAAATACTTACTGCTATATAAAAAACTCTTGCTTTTTCTACCAACTCCCAGTTTTTCTCCAGATCAAGATGTTTTTCCTTTTTGTAACAATTGGCAGCAGCAAGATTAGCTATAAGGGACCTAAAATAACCAAAGAAAATTCAACTAGATTTTACTCAAATCTATAGCCCAAACTGTCTTGGTTTTCTATAATTATCAGTATCTTTTGCAAAATTTTTGTTTTACAATTTTCTTATTCTTCAACACTGCTGTATATTGACTTTATACAAAATGTAAATAAAATTAATTTTGTTTTAAAATCTTTTTGAGACTTCTGTGTTGCTTTTGAAATAAGCAGAGAGGTTATGTTAACACTAGTATTTTGAGAAACATCATCTAGTATTTTGATAAACTGGCTTGGATACTAAAATGATGAACATTACCTAGTTTGTACATTTTAATAGTTCAAAATACTGTTAAGAAGTAAAGCTACTGTATGTCGTTATGCAGAAAAATCTATGGAATTAAAAACTTTTTATGGTAGGAAAAAAAACAGCTTTATTAAAAACAAGTATCAAAATACTATACAATGACTCTCACTCTTTAAAAGCTAAGTTTGAGATTAATTTCAGAAAACATTTCTAGTAATGTAGACCATATTTATTATGAGGAGTTTATTTGCAAACCATTATATTTTAAAGACCAGAATCAATTAAAATTAGTTTCTATAGTTGCTAACTCCCAGGACTACTCCAATTATGCAGCTGGAAAATCTAAGCAGGATATTGCATCTAAAATCTTGCTAGAAATGCCACATAGATTATTTAATTATAGCCCAACAAGTAAACTTAATGAAATAAGATAATTATTTATACATGGAAATTAATAAAAAAAATTTTTTTTTGTCGTCATTCCGAACCAGAATTTACAAAATTACTTGGCCAATTTTTCCTTTTCTCTAATCCAATGGGAAACTATTATGGCTTTAAAATTTTTTTTCCTCTCATAACTTGAGATGTCTGTAAAAAATCATTTATCTTTCCAAACATATTTCTTCTACTCATCCATATACCTGTATATACTGAAAGATACATTTGTTTATGTTAAAGTCAGTAACCGGAAATAAGAGTGATATGCATCAATACATTCAGGTATAAAGTTACTACATTATGAACTTAAGAAAATTTAGTCTTAGTTTAAAAAAATTTTTTTTATGAATCATGACTTTAAGAAAATTTTTACAAATACAGCTGCTACATAAAAGCAGACATTTCCAGTAACAGCTATTAAATATTATTTTGATAATCAAACCACTCTGATAGGATATGACATAGTTTCTCTAAAAAATGCATAAATTTTCTAATATAGATTAAGAATAATACTGCATTATCACAACTCTGTTTACTGAGTTTTGGATAGTGATAACGAGTAACCAGCCCTATCTCAAAGAATTTATCCAAATCTATTAGGCTTCAGATTTTGGGCAATGAGGTAGAAAGTAAGGGTTCCCCCTCCCAGTTTCTGACTTTCCATATAAACTGAGTAATACTGATCATTATAACCTTAATATTAGCATATAAATTAAGCTTTTGACATCTGAGAGATCTAATATTACCATAACTGTTCTTTAAAATTGCCATTTAGTATACAAAAACAATTTAGCAATTTTACTCTAGCCTGAGTGGTATCAGAGGCATAACTTAACCTGTTTTCCATTAATGGGAAAATCTTGCACCTGAAGACAAAAGTTGGTTTTAGAAAATTTGAAAAGAGCTGAAATCTACACAAATATATTTCAATGCTTCCACAATTTTGTATTTCAGACATAAACAGATGATGAACAATAGACAGTTTTATTTATTGAAACCGTAATATCATAAAGTTCTCCTACAGAGTAAAAATAAAGTTACAGGAAAGGTTTGAAGATGGTTTGGATGCCCTAATTATTATTATTTTTAATAATTCATTTTATTTTATGTTTTTTTTTTGTTGAGAACATACACAGCAGAACATACACCTATTCAACAACTGGTGTTTTAAAAGTTATATTTTAGTTATTGAATGAATAGTGTCCATACTGATCCCCAATACCCAGAATAGTATTAAGTCCTCATATACATTTGCTAAGAAGTTCTGCTGGCCTACTGGGTAAGGCATTGGGCTGCTAACCAGAAGTCTGGTGGTTTGAACCCACCAGCCACTCCACAGGAAGAAGATGAGACAAGGCACTTCCATAAAAATTTAAAGCCTTGGAAACCCAATGGGGGTTGCTGTGAGACAGAATCAACTTAATGGCAACAGGTACATTTGCCAGAGAATGAGTGTAAGAAAATAAAAGAGATAAGAAAGGGGAATGGAGGAAAGGGAATAAGGAAGGAGGTAAGAAAGGATGAAGATAGAAAAAGGAAGGGAGACAGAGAATGGAGGACATTTTTTAAACACTTCCAACTATAAAGGAATGCAAGATTTCTAGTGAATCACTCTATATAAAGAGATAAGAGCTAGAAAAGATCTTGTGTTTTTCTCTTGCAAAGGAAGAAAAAACACTGTGCTGATAAACAACGTTGTAATAATCATGTTAGCAATGTACAAGTGTCTCAAGGAATGCCTTTAGTAGCTGCAAATGGCACAAGCATAACCAATGCATGGATGGCCTTGATACCCAAATTTCATTTTCATACAAGGAAGAATTTTCTAACAGGTAAAGAAAGTTGCATAGAAATATAATGGTTTATTTGTATGGCACTGAAAGTACTACATTACATATGTATGTAGTATTTAGTATTACATATACATATATTGTTGCTATTGTTTGTCATAGAATCAGCTCTGATGCATCCTTATGTATATATTTGTAATATTTCTATGTCAGGATATGACAAAAAGAATACTCTTCCACAAACTAGCTGGGGTGGGGACAGCAGGGAACTAGCTAGAAAATATGAATTAAAATATTTACCCTTTCTGAACCTAATTATAAAAAATGGGTACTGGATAAGATAATTTAAACTTCCATTCCATGTCTAAAATTCTTTTCTGATTCATGAAGACAACAGCTGACTCAGCAAGGTAAATTAAAAAGAAAAAATAAAATGAAAAAAGGAGAACTGTTTATCAAACATTACAAGCAATTATAAACATGAAGTCAATATTCCAAATTTAGATTGGAATTCAGATTTTACCATTGTTTATATAGCTAATTAGTGTAGTGATGCCCTTGAAATTACACTGACCTGTTGTCACCAGTGATGCAAGCAGCGCAAGTCCCTGTTGGCTGTTCATTCTGCTCATAGTAATGAGCATCCACATGGGCTTCAGCAGCTTTTGTCTTCAGGATCTCCCCAAATTTATCTATACCAATGCATCCAAAAAATGTTGCTGCTTTGTGTGGCTGCTGAATCATCCACTGAAAAATAGAAACATAAATAACTTAATGAATTGGGAAAATGGTATATACATAGTTCAGTATTCGGCCATACACAGTGTCATAAAAGGGATGCTTTCTGAGAGACAGTGGCTGTTATGAATGGGATTTCAATACTGCACTACCACTTACAATATAACAAATTGATATAATACTATTTTGGGGGAGAGAATCTAAAAAAGCTGAAAAGAACTCAGAATCTAAAATCACAAAAGACCTTGTGGCAAATGATGGGTTGATCTAGGAAAATAATAGTTGAGTCTCAATGGAAGTATTACAGTATTACCATAAACAACCCAGACTTTCCATTCAAGACTGCCTGGGTTTAAATCTTGGCTGTCATTTTCTAGTTGTGTAAGAGCAAATCACTGTGTGTCTCAGTTTCCTCATCTGTAAAATAGGATTAGTAATTATAACTACACTTCATAAGGTTGATGAGGATTAAATGAAATAATGTGACTTAATATACACCCTGCTTAGGATAGTACCTGAGGAGGTCTGGTGCTCTAATGGTTTAAAGCATTTGGCTGGTAACCAAAACGTTGGTGGTTCAAACCCACTAGCCACTCTGTGGGAGAAAGATGAGGCAGTCTGCTTTCATAAAGATTCACAGCCTTAGAAACCCTAGAGCAGTTCTGCTCTGCTCTGCAGGGTTGCTAAGAGTCAGAATCGACTCGCTGGCAGAGAGTTTGGTTTTTTGGTTTTTAGCATAGTAACACAATAATAAGCAATATACATTAACAGTGCCTTGGCAGGAAGGTTGGGCAATCTACTTCTGTAGTGACACTGCCTTGGAAACTCAAGGAGGGGTTGCTATGAGTCGGGTACGACTGGACAGCAAATAGCAACAACCACAACACATTAACTGTGTATCTACTGTGTCACTTATTGTTATACTTATTTTAGTAATTAATATGTATATTAAAAATTCTAATTATAAATAACTTATCTTTTCACTAAAGTGACTCTCATGATCTTTCTTTGTTATCAGTTAATGACACCAGATTTCCTTTTAAAAGTATGTTCTCACTTCAGTCAGTGAGGGTGTAGTTATTATAGTGTAATTCAGCCTATGTACAGTAATAGTTTGTCTGCGCAGACTATGTCTGAAATAAGGGCTATATGAAATCACTACCAGGCTTATACCTGATTTATAACTATTTTATGATCATGATTAAAGGAATTGAAATGTCTTTATTACTAACCAGTATTATTTAAATCTGCAAGATAAAAATGGACAAATAATACCTACTGCTGTTGAGCAGATTCCAACTCATAAGGACCCTGTAGGGTTTCCAAGGCTGTAAAATCTTTATGGAAGCAGACCGTTACCACATTTTCCTCCTGTGGAGCAGCTGGTGGGTTCAAACCATTGACCTTTTGGTTAACAGCTGAAAGCTTAGCCACCGTGCCACCAGGGCTCCTTGGACAAATAACAGAAATACTCTGTATGTTTTGTTGTAATTCCATTATTGAATATTTCAGCAGAGGAAACGGCCTGACATTTTGGCTGTTTCTATTATCAGGATATGAGGACATTGACAAAATGTGTGAACTCTACTTTTGATCAATGATTTCCACTCAAAAGTCCATTCTAGAGTTTAGTAACCCAAAGCAGACACACATACACAAAATAGAAGCCATGTTCACTTCCTCAAAGCATTTAATAATTTAGCTGAGTGGTGAAATGTTATAATTGAGAAAGTTGCAACAGATAAAAAATGTTTTAAAAACTCTAACTTCCTAACTTCTATTAAAATTTTGGTATATCTCTAACTTTATCTCAAATATGATGGCACCAATACCTAACAAATGTGTTTCCTACGGTTTTAAAATTCAATCACTGAATACTTAATGCATGTGTACTAGGGGATAAAAATAAGAAAGGGATGAAGTTCCTAATACAAAGTCACAATCACTACACTTTCAGATTCTCCAGGAAAAAGATTCAATCTCTGATTACGCTACTTCTTCCAGCTAAAATATCCTGCTCTGTTTCTCTTTGTTTATATATGTACTTCTACTCTAGCCATGTGAGAGTAGGAGGGTTCAGAATGATCCTCATATTGTAAACAACTAGAAAACGGAACCAACAGGAAACAGCTATTTTCAGATATCAGTCAAGAGGGCAGAACTGTGATCTCTGAAAGAAAAGAAACAAGGTGAGTCCTGACATCACACAGGCTCTCTGCCAGGAGGCAATTTTCAGATTATGGCACAAGAAAGAAAAGCCAAATAGAGCCTGGCATTCTCACTGGAATGAGAGGACAGATATAGAATTTAAAGAAAGTGAGGGGACTGGAAATTGTGACAGAGTTTCAGAGAGGAGTGAGTTAAAATCTATAGAGGTTTTGGCTGGACACCAGTGTGTGCACGCTTAGGGTATATATAGCAAACCATAAGGAATCTATACAATTGCTCTAGAATTAAACAGTGAGTTTATTAAGTTCTCAGGATTCAAGATCAATATACAAAAATCTAATGTATTTCTATGTATGATTAAGGAATAGTTGGAAATTCAAATTAAGAAAACAACACCATTTTCAGAAGCATCAAAAAAGTGAAATATATAGGGACAAATCTAACAAAGTATGTGCAAGCCTTATATTATACATAGACTATCACAAAAGGATGGGGGGGGGGGAGAAAAACAACCCTATATAAATAAAGAGCTATACTACGAGCAAGACATTTGGCTGCTAACCAAAAGGTCAACAGTTCAAACCTACCAGCTGCTCCGTGGGAGGAAGATTAGGCAAACTACTTCAGTAAAGACATACAGCTTTGAAAACCCAATGGGGAACACTATGAGTCTGAATTGAACTGATGGCAGTGGGTATACTATGAGCATTGTTTAGAAAACTCAATATTATTAAGATACCAGTTATCTTAAGTTGATCTATAGATTTCAAGGCAAATTCAATCAAAATCTCAACAAGATTTTTTTGAAGATATTGAAAAGCTGATCTACAATAGTAAAAGGCAATGGAGCTAGATTAGCCAAAGGTTTGGAGGTATATTAATAAACCACACTTCCTTCAAACAAAAAAAAAAAAAATTGGATAATATAACCTAGGATGTTGTAAGAATCAGAAACAGAGTAATAAGACACATAGTTTAGTTCAATAAATGGCACCTATTACTATAATTGGATCACTTTTATACATGGTATGAAAGGGCTCTCACTATACTGTAAGTAACTGCACCATCTAACTGGTGAGCAGAAAGGCCACAGCCATAACTGGAAACTTTAAAAAAATAGTTGAATCAATTTTAAAAAGCAATAGTAAAGGCAGAATGGTATTATTTATACAATAAACAAAGCACTAGGAAATAGCCAGCAGGGAGATTAATTGCAGCTGGGTGGATAAGAAAAGGCTTCTGGAGATGGTGACTTTATCAGCTGGTCTTTGAAAGATGTGTATGATTTTGAAAATGGTTATGAATTGGAAAGAACGTAGAGGTATAGAGCATAATACATGGCTCATTTCATGTTTCATGAATTTAATCAAAGTGCCCCCTAGAGCAAACTATATACCTAATAATTCTGTTTATTAAGTAGTTAGTTCCAAACAGCTTAACAACTATTTATTTCCAGACAATTTAGCACCTGTTGGTCACTGCACAATTCTCACACTTCAGAATCAGATTCTTCACTACTACCTTCATTTTCCTGTTCCACATTGAGTTTTGCACAGTACTTGCTTTTTATTGCAAAAACCACCAAAAACACAGTTTTGATCTTTTTACTGCCTTTGGTTTTACCAAACAGACTTGGCAGCACAATGGTTAAACACTCAGCTACTAATGGAAAGGTTGCTGTTGGAATCCACCAGTGACTCCCTGGGAAAAAGACCTGGCAATCTGCTCCCATAAAGATGACAGCCTAGAAAACCCTATAGGACAGCTGTACTCTGTCCAATACAGCTGCTATGAGTTAAATCAATGGCATATAACCACAATAGTTTTAGTTTTGTCCACAACGCTATATTGTGGGAATCTTACAGTATGTAGCTTTTTTAGGTTGGTTTCTTTCATTTAGGAATATACATTTTTTCATAGCTTGATAGCATGCTCTCTCCCTCTCTTATTAAGTCAATGAATAATACTCCCTTGTATGGATGCACTTGTTAATATTAGCTGATTCTGGCTCATGGCCACCCCATGTGTTAGAAAGTGGAACTGCTTCATAGGGTTTTCTTGGCTGTAATCTTAACAGTTAACCACAACACCAGCAGAGCTTTCCTGGTGGTGTCGTGGTTCGGGGATTTTGCTACAAACCAAAACGTTGGTGGCTTGAACCCATGAGCAGCTCCAAGGAAGAAAGATGAGGCAGCCAGTTTCTGTAAAGATTTATAGCCTTGAAAAACCAATGCGGGTTGCTATGAGTCTGAATCAACTCTACAGTAGTGAGTTCGGAATCTTAATAGAAGCAGATTACCAGGCCTAACTTCCACCCTACCACTGGGTGCGTTCAAACTGTCAAACTTTAGGTTATCGGGTAAGTACCACTTAGGGACGTTTATCCATTTATCTATTGAAGGACATCTTGGTTGCTTCCAATTTTTGGCAACTAGCAATAAAGCTGCTACAAAAATTTGTGGGTAGGTTTTTATGAACACATATTTTCAACTCATTTATTTTGTAAATCATAGTGGTGCAAACCTATGTTCAAGGTGAGGAAGGAAGAAATGAATAGGTGGAACACAAGACACTTTTAGGGAGTTGCAGCAAGATGGCGAACTAGGCACAAGGACTGCACAGACGCTCTTCAACAAAGAAAAGGGAAACCAATTAACACAGACACAGAAGATAATCTTGGACCCCTGAGCCTTGAAGGGAAGGATACAAAAGTGGACTAAACCCCAACTAGCAGAAGAATTTGCATGAAAATACCAAAAAAGGAGACACACACAGCTGCGGTCTGGCAGCGGACTGAGTGACACTGACGGCACAGACGACACGGCTTGGAGATTCCCGAG